GGATCGATTCAGATTTCGGATCAACTGCTGTACGCTTAGTAGGAAGCACGACCGGCGACACGAGCGTAGGAAGGAAGCTTAAGGTTGAAGATCTGACGAAAGAGCTGATGCGCGTTCGACTCGAAGAAGAGCGTGACGCTCAGTAATAAGATTTGACGAACATTAGGAGCTGATGCTTGGAGGAGATCCTCCGATATTCTTAATTTAACGAATCTAATCTGCGTATGGTCCGATGTTGTAACGACCGACCGACCGTCGTAACTCTTGAGGGTTAAATTATCAGGCTGATGGTCTGTTTGGAGAGCTGAGCGTTCGGAATCCTGAACTTTAACCAATCTATAGTCCGATTAATTCTTCGTTTTTAGCTACCATCATGGTAGCGAATAAGGCTGTAGTCACAACGGACGAAGCCATGAATAAGGCTGTAGTCACAACGGAGGAAACCATGGACTCGGAGAACCAAGACTAACTTGAGTCACAACAGGAAACCTAGGGAATGTCGAGAAACTCGTGAAGGGCTCATGGAGGACTAGGTGAGAGGGGATGGCAAATCCGTAAGGGAGAGAGGGAAGGGGAGGGAAGTGAAGGGAGGTTGGAGGGTTAGGGGTGGGTTGAGAGAATTTCAGAAAGGTCTGTGGTGGAATGCACGAGAGACGGCGAAAGGGAAGCGACGGCAGTGACGAGCAGAGTCGCTCGCCATGCCACTGCAAGCCGAGGGGGAAGCCGTAGTGAAGTGAATGGGCAGGCTCCGCTGACAGGCGGGAGGCGGGAAACATTCGGCCAATAAAAGTGAAGGAAAGCGGGAACAGTGTTGCGCTGGAGCGCGCGCCGTCGGAAACAGTGTTGGGCTGCGCGCGCTGTGCGACCGTTCGCGGGAAAGGGTAGCCATGTGCGAAACATCAGATTGAAAGCGAGAAGTGTCTTGACCAGAATGCTAGGGCCTCGGGGCTGAGCAGAGTGATGTGGGGCTTTTGGCTAAGTGGCATGGACGAAATTACGGCTGGCTGTTTTGGCAAAGCATGTTGTGGATGGTATGGTCTGTTTGCACCAATCAGGTGATGCTACGGATGGATGGCTCGAGCCGCCATCAACATCCATCTCATTCGTGTCAGACCCTGGTTTCAAAATTTTCCTTTCTGCTCATAACATCAACCATTCAGGCGGCGGGGGCGGACATCCCCGTTTTGAGTGTTCGTCTGGGGATGGTTTGTACACAGTAGGGTGCAGATAATGCAAGTTTGCAGTTTAGAAAAAGAAAAAAGGACGCTGACTTCAAATGGAATGGAATCTTAACAATAACATTGCTAGCAATACATTCTCTAGGGCATGCAAATGCGCACAGTTCCCAATAGATTAATAATAGTTTATAATGATGGGAGACAATCCTCATCCTAGCCGAAGTGGTGCGTGGATATCACACCGAAAACGGTATGATATTTTTCACCAACACGTTATATCAGAAGATCGGAATGTTACTGTCAATGCAAGTCAGTTGCACTGTCAGTATAAATACAGGCCTTGTGCTGTCAGTTCTGTCATGTCATCCAGGAGCCCTGTGGGCTGTCCCTCCTGTTCAGCTGCAAACTGCTGCATTCTTAACTCCTTTCTTTGGTATAACCCATTGCATGTGCATTGGCCTCTCTGGCCTTCTCCACACTCCACTCCAGAAAAACCTCTGGCCCCACCTCTCCAAGCCCGTCCTCATCCCCTTCCAAGCCCATAATTCCATTCATTTCTGTTTTACCAGCTCCACCATACCATCCCTTCTCCATCATCTCAATCATTCTGCCCGCCTGCTCTGCCCCTACACCAGTACTGTTTCCACTAGCAACCCCCTTTCCCACTACTCTCGCCTCCCCTGTGCTCTCTGTGTCCTTCACCAATGCCTTACTCCTCTCAAGTACCACCATGCATTCCTCTCCTTCTACCACCTCTGCCACCGCCTCGGCCACAATACTGCGGATTTCGGCCATCTCGTTTCGGCGTGGACCCATCTTATCCTGTAATGGGGCGAATGGTAGAGCATCCTTCCCGTTCGCCTTGGCCATTCTCATCTTGAGCCGCAGAGCAGCACCCTCCATGCCAGACCGTTTCACCTCCCGTTTCTGCAGGTCTAGGTAGTTCCTGAGAGCTCTCTTTGAAAACTCCAACCGTTTCTCGTCCTTCACACGGTGGAGTGACTCCTGCTCGTTTATTCTTCCCCCTTTCTGCTCACTATCCCCCCCCTGCTGCTCCTTCTCCTGTTCCTGCTGCTGCAGTCTCTGGTCGTGTTGCTTCTGCGTGAAGCCCTGCAGCCGCAGCAGCAAGGACGCGCGGACCAGACCATGAAATCCCGAGCGAACAGCAAGGGCTCCCGCAGCGACAGTGATAGCGACTCCGAGGCCAATCAACGGCAGAGATTGCTGCACCTCACCCCCTCTTCCAGGAACAAACGCCTGTGTCACTGACGCCACCACGCCCTGTTTTGGGCCTGTTCCGTCAATCCCTGCGTGGGAACCCACAGAGCCTTTCCTCCATCCGTCAAGGTGCATGGTCCGAGTGAGATGCTTTCTTGCAGCGAAGAAGTTCGCGAAACCGCTCAGCTCGTCGGCGAAACGCCGCTTTTCGTACTCGGTGGCAGCAGACGTGGAAGAGGCAGAGTCAGCAACAGAAGCAGCGTCAGAGTGAGCATCAGGAGCGTCGGCAGCATGAATAGAGCCAGCAGCAGGAGCATCAGCAACAGCAGCAGCAGGAGCAGCAGGGGCGGATGTTACCAGCAGAGCAGGCGAGACCCCCTCACAAGGAGGGGCGGCCGATACATTGACACGCGTATCAGGACTCGCACTGACAGCACCGGTGGAATTCTTTAGCCATCCCCTCACCCGCATCCTCATTCCCGTTGTTCTGCCAGTGGGAGCTTCCCGGCAGCTAGTGATACACACACGTCCCGCGGAAGCTGCAGCAGCAGCCGCGCTAGCCCCCCTTGCGTCACTGAAGCCGCTGCTGCTGCTGCTGCTGCTGCTGCTGCTGCTGGTGGTCCCAGTGGAAAGGGCTGTTCCGTCAGCCATGGTACCGCTGCTGTCCGTGCACAAACGAACGCATTCTTGCGAGCCGGATGGGAAGGTGGACTGCCTGGAGCTTGTGCCATGGTTCTCTCGAATGTGCAGAGACACGTGTTGGGAACGCCCTGACTGCGACGCCTGCGACTGCGACGATGATTGTGCCTGCGACTGCGACGATGCGACGGAAGGTGAGGCGACCGGAGCGTTCTTCACTTCCTGCGACGGTACCTTCCGCTCCTTTCGTGCCGAGGACGACGGGAGATAAAGCACCTCACCGACGCGAATGCTCGGCGAGGACTTGCCGTTAGCCGCGAGAAGAGCGTCCACAGGAATGGAGTAGCTGGATGCGATAGAAGAAACGGTTTCTCCGGCGGACACGGAGTGGATTCGCACTGAGACCATTATTTTCTCGCCATGAGATGAAGCGCTGTTCGTGCGGAGGTTACTGTCACCGCGAACTCCGTTATCGAATGTGACGTTGTCGACGTCATTCTCGTGTTTTACAACGGCCGGACCGCGTGCTGCTCGTCCGTGGTCGTGACTGCTAGACAAATGCCCGTAGTGATGCTCCTGGGAAAGGCAGAGAGGGACGGAATAAAGGCAGAAACAAGTTCAGGAATTCAAGCTCTTCTCACAGAGAAGTACACATGTATAAGAAACATTTACGTCAAATCGACGCCATGGCATGGAGAAATTTACACCAGATTTCGGAAAAAAATAACTTCAGTAAGCAGCAGAAAAGCTATTTAAGTTTATGACCTTTTGTGGACTAGGGGCCCGAGTAGTTGCAGAAGAAACTTTCGCCCGAAATTGAGACGCTCCTCGATTATTTCGCAAGCCTACCAGGCTGAGACGAGGCGAATCCAACAAAGGCACTTCGGACAGAAGCCGAAAGCCCCCTTGCGGAGGAACGATAACAGGGAGCATCATGGTCACCCTAAATATGAGGATTTCGGCACTGACAAGCAACAGGGAATAAGTAGAGTGCACATTTGACGTAGCTAGTCTGGTGGAGAGATTAGACGGCAAATAACTGGCGGGTTCTAGAAAAGAGCAAATCTCAAGAAATCTGGAGCTCTCTGGATAGGGGGAAACGGATGAGGGGGAAGAGCGCGGTAAGAAGGGACGAGGGGAAAAAGGGGGAGGGAGCGGATGAATGCGGAGCAGATTAGGGGAAGGAACGAAGTCCAGCTGGCTGCTCGGGGGGAAGGAGACACTAGTGTCGGGGGCATTGAGGGGACGTGTGTGAGGTGTGGGAGAGGCTGGGGAAATTTTGCAGGGTGGAGGGAAGTGAGCGGGGAAGGTTGCTGTGAGATGTGGCTAGAACGCGCTTGACGGAGCAGGATTCAGCTGGATGGCATGCTCCGCCTTTCGAGAGGAAAAAACGCGGGGGCAGGCGGAGATGCTCAGCCCCTTGGTAGGCAACCCAAATTCCTTTCTGTTTTCGCCCTACCTGACCTGATCACTGGCCTTGGTTTTACCCAATGAGTGGGCAAGCCAAACCTGACCCGAGGATTATAAATTACCATAAAATGATAGTTCTTTTGTGCCTATACAGCATGTGAGTGCTCTACACGGCGTCTGATATGCATAACCTGAACTTTTGCCTTAGCTCCCTTTACTAGTTGGGGTTAAATAAAATTTACATCGCTCCACGAAGCAGATTCAATGTAGGGTCCGACCAAGCCGAGGCTGCGATGGGTTGGCACGGGGGTCAATCACGTGAATCTCATTGCGCACAATAGTCCAGGTCCAGGCGCAACCCCCCCTCCTTCCGCCCCCCCCCGCTTTATACAATCCACGTTCCCCTCGCAAATTCATGTCCAGGCACACAACTCTACAATATTCCACAGCTGGCCTCTGTTCCCTCACCTCCAGAAGCTGGCAAATTCACGAGATATCCATTTCATGTTGCTCAGGTTACCACTCTTGTGTTACGAGATAGACTGTTCGTAGGCAATGGAGTCCTCCACGTTACAGCTGTTGGATAGCACCGACGCCGTCGTGCGGCTGCGCCACGTGCTCGCCACGCAGCTGCAGCATGGCTGGATGGACCTCGCCGCCGCTCGTTACAGTCACGCATCGTCGCCTCTGGGCGACGGAGGGCTGATGCATCTCGTCGGGTGTGCGACGGCGCACAGGACGTCGCCAGGTGACTCAAATGGAGCGAGCGACGACGGAGAGGAAAGTGGATTCGATCCTAGGCTTGTCAGAGTTTACGTTGATGGCGAAAAGCTCGCGAAAGGCGCCAGGGAAGACCAGGACGGGCAGCAGGAGCGTGAAGGAGAGTGCATCACGTGTCCTGATTTCCAGATTCGCTGGCCGTGCGCTCTTTCTTGCAACGGCGACTCATCCAGCAGCAGCAGCGCCGGCAGCAGTGGTGGCGCCGGCAACAGCAGAGGCTGCATCGGTTGCTGGATCCGCCACGAGACGGATTCCGCTCTTCCAGAACCATGTGGGGATCATCAAATTGCAACCAGCGGGAATTCTCAAGATTCCGGTCACCCAGGAACGAGATCTGCGGCGGGTGTGAGTCACGGGAAGCCGTTACCCCTTGCGGGATTGGCGCATCCCACCCTGCGATCGGCGCAGAGCAGATTCGCACTTGCGCTCGCCGTGGCTGTGGAGGTGGCGTCCTTGCAGCAACAGGTGGCTCGACTTGGGAAGCAGGTTCGATCAGGGGTCGAAGCAGTGGAGGGTGGCGCAGCGGAGGAGTGAGGGGATGGGATAAGAGACGGAATTGGATTGCAGAGAGAAGGCAGTTTTGAGAATGGAGTATGGGGAAGGTGAATGGGGAATGGGAATGAGAGGAGAGTGGGGGAAGGTGGGAGTGACAAGATGGAGAATGCTGGTGAGTGGGTGGGGGTGAGGATATGGTGGGGTGGGAGGCTTAGCTAAGGTTTATATGGTTTTCAAGCTCAAGACGTCACCTCCACTCATTGGATATTATTGATTGGATATGATGTACATACAGGTCTGACTCTCTTGTGCCTTTGTTGAAACTTGTGCATTTGGTGTAGAGAAGTTGCTAAGGCAATGTAGAAAACAATTGAGTGTGCAAGTTGTTAACTCTCTTGTTGATGAATATACCTTCGTCATTTGTATAATATCGAAACGCACAATAACTCCACCTTGTTCGCGATTCGTCAGAAGCCTCCTCGACTCGACATCTCCCTTTTCCCGAAACCTGTGGGGAGGGGAACGTGATATAACGTGGCACGGATTTGCCCACAAATGTTTGACACACATTGCAATTTGCTCCACTTCTCTCCAGTCTTCTTATGGCTTGTCTCGCCTTTCCCATCAGGGCTCTCCTCTCCACGGCAGGTCACGAAGCGCAGCCTACTTCAGAAGTGACAGTTTACAGAACACGTGGTTTCTTTGCCCCTGAATGCAATTTTTGCTCGTCCTTTCTCATCCAGCACAACTCTTGCGAACGTAGCGCTAGAAAGCAGCGACTATGGCGGCTAGTTTCCTGAAAAACGTCTGTCCGCGGCAGCTTCCCTGTTTCGAGAGCATGATTAAGGCGCACGCCCCGTTCACGATCTTATGCTTCTGCTCTGATAGCCCACGGAAACGCTGCTCTGCGGGAACGTGTAATTCAGTCCGGATTCGAAGTGGGGTGCACGTGTTAGTCAAACGGATTCCGTCAATGAGTTCGTCAGTTTCCGTCAGTCGACGGAAACTGTCTCGATCGGGCCCACTCGTGCGTCTTCCCCCAGCTCCCCGCAGTCCCCGACGCCGTCTGCTTCGGAACCGCAGGATCAGCAGGAACCAAAGGAATTGCAGCAGCAGCAGCAGCAGCAGAAGCCAGATGTGATTAAAAGCACAGGGGCACTGCCAGATGCGGAAGAAGGTGAGTCGGGGCGGTGAACGAGAGCGGTGTGAGGTGAGTGAGAGCGGTGTGAGGTAAGTGAAAGCGGTGTGATTTAAACAGATGCTAACAGCAATTGGATAGTTAGATGCGAGAGACGATCAGTGTGAGTTTAATAGTCTATCTCACCTTTTTAGCTCCTGACCCCCACATTCTCCCCACATGCTCCCCACGTGCTCCTCACATGCTCATGTCGACCTGTCTTTTCCCATCCATACTGTGTATATCTCCCTGCCAGCCGCCCATTTCAGCTGGCCCACTGTGCTGGCTTGTCTTTTTGCGGCTGGATTCACCCTGGGGCCGCCTCTGGACGGCATTCACTCCGTTGTGGGCCTTCAGGTGCGCCCCTCACTCTGCTCTCGCCCTCTCCCTGCGCTCCCCGTTCTCACCTTCTCCCTTCTCTCATCGTCTCCCTGTTCTCTCCCTGCTCTCTTCATCCCCCCTATTGGCCATGCTTCTGCTTTGCACCCTGCCCCAAGTCCTTTCATTGGCTAGCTTCTGCCTGTAGGTTACCTCAGTCCACGTGGCAGGTCACCCTCCTCTCTCTCGCCCTCCGCTCTCTCGCCCTGGTCAGGTGTACGACGTGAATGGGGGGCTCAGAATAGGGGGTCCGGACGGGCTGTACACGAGCGTGTGAGTCTTCCCTCTGCAGGCCAGCAGCACCGTGCCACACACACACTTACACCTAGCCTCTCTCTCACACCCATCAGGTGTACGACGTGAATGGGGGGCTCATAATAGGAGGTCCAGACGGCCTCTACACGAGTGTGTGGGTCTTCCCTCTGCTGGGAGCCATGTACGCTGTCGTTGGCGCCCTGCAGCTACTCGTCGACCAATCCGCCTTCAATTCGGGGTCTCAACGTCTGGATAGCTCTCCTGCTCTGGGAGTGTCGTCCTCTCATACTGCTGCCTCACCTCGGGAAGAGCTGCAACCAGGACCAGCATCTTCCACCTCCTCTTCCTCCTCTTCCTCCTCCTCCTCCTCCACCTCCTCCTCCTCCACCTCCTGGTTCTCCCTCGCCTCCTCCCCTCCCAGGGGCTCCTGGTTGCGCCTGCTGAGCTGCATGGGGTGAGTGACTTGCTGTAATCTGGTGTCTGTACGCGTTATAAGGTGCCTAAGTGCATTGGTTGGTACATGTGATGGTTCTCCCTCGCCTCCTCACCCCCCAGGGGCTCCTGGTTGCGCTTGCTGAGCTGCATGGGGTGAGTGACTTGCTGTGATCTGGTGTCTGTACGCGTTATAAGGTGCCGAAGAGCATTGGTTGGTACGTGTGATGGTTCTCCCTCGCCTCCTCCCCTCCCAGGAGCTCCTGGTTGCGCTTGCTGAGCTGCATGGGGTGAGTGACTTGCTGTGATCTGGTGTCTGTACGCGTTATAAGGTGCCGAAGAGCATTGGTTGGTACGTGTGATGGTTCTCCCTCGCCTCCTCCCCTCCCAGGAGCTCCTGGTTGCGCTTGCTGAGCTGCATGGGGTGAGTGACTTGCTGTGATCTGGTGTCTGTACGCGTTATAAGGTGCCGAAGAGCATTGGTTGGTACGTGTGATGGTTCTCCCTCGCCTCCTCCCCTCCCAGGGGCTCCTGGTTGCGCTTGCTGAGCTGCATGGGGTGAGTGACTTTCTGTGATTGGTGTCTGTACGCGTTATAAGGTGCCGAAGAGCATTGGTTGGTACGTGTGATGGTTCTCCCTCGCCTCCTCCCCTCCCAGGAGCTCCTGGTTGCGCTTGCTGAGCTGCATGGGGTGAGTGACTTGCTGTGATCTGGTGTCTGTACGCGTTATAAGGTGCCTAAGTGCATTGGTTGGTACATGTGATGGTTCTCCCTCGCCTCCTCCCCTCCCAGGAGCTCCTGGTTGCGCTTGCTGAGCTGCATGGGGTGAGTGACTTGCTGTGATCTGGTGTCTGTACGCGTTATAAGGTGCCGAAGAGCATTGGTTGGTACGTGTGATGGTTCTCCCTCGCCTCCTCCCCTCCCAGGAGCTCCTGGTTGCGCTTGCTGAGCTGCATGGGGTGAGTGACTTTCTGTGATTGGTGTCTGTACGCGTTATAAGGTGCCGAAGAGCATTGGTTGGTACGTGTGATGGTTCTCCCTCGCCTCCTCCCCTCCCAGGAGCTCCTGGTTGCGCTTGCTGAGCTGCATGGGGTGAGTGACTTGCTGTGATCTGGTGTCTGTACGCGTTATAAGGTGCCTAAGTGCATTGGTTGGTACATGTGATGGTTCTCCCTCGCCTCCTCCCCTCCCAGGAGCTCCTGGTTGCGCTTGCTGAGCTGCATGGGGTGAGTGACTTGCTGTGATCTGGTGTCTGTACGCGTTATAAGGTGCCGAAGAGCATTGGTTGGTACGTGTGATGGTTCTCCCTCGCCTCCTCCCCTCCCAGGAGCTCCTGGTTGCGCTTGCTGAGCTGCATGGGGTGAGTGACTTGCTGTGATCTGGTGTCTGTACGCGTTATAAGGTGCCGAAGAGCATTGGTTGGTACGTGTGATGGTTCTCCCTCGCCTCCTCCCCTCCCAGGGGCTCCTGGTTGCGCTTGCTGAGCTGCATGGGGTGAGTGACTTGCTGTGACCTGGTGTCTGTACGCGTTATAAGGTGCCGAAGAGCATTGGTTGGTACGTGTGATGGTTCTCCCTCGCCTCCTCCCCTCCCAGGGGCTCCTGGTTGCGCTTGCTGAGCTGCATGGGGTGAGTGACTTGCTGTGATTGGTGTCTGTACGCGTTATAAGGTGCCGAAGAGCATTGGTTGGTACGTGTGATGGTTCTCCCTCGCCTCCTCCCCTCCCAGGGGCTCCTGGTTGCGCCTGCTCAGCTGCAAGGGGTAAGATCTTTGCTTGTTTGTTTGTTTGCTTGTTTTTGTTTTTTGTTCCCTTCCTTCGAGTCAATAAGTTATGTTCTACCGTCATACTGCCATCCCCTCTGATCTCGCTTCTTCCTCCTCAATCGCCCTACCCCTGTGCTCATCAGCCTCCTCCACTTCAGCTCCCACCTCTTTGAGGCTCATGCCATCCCCTCTACAGTCATTGCACTGTCCATTCACCCTGCTTATCACTCCTTTCCTGGTCCCTTTCCGTCCTATATCCCCCTTCTGCACCCCTCCCCCCCTCTCAGTGTGCTCATCAGCCTCCTCCACTTCAGCTCCCAGCTCTTCAAGGGTCATGCCATCCCCTCTACAGGCATCTTCGCTATCCTCGCCCTGTGCGCCCATGCCAACTGGTTTGCCTTTGACCGCACCCTCCCTGGGTACCTCCTCGCTCTCTTTGTCGCCGTGGGTGCACCAGCCTCAGAAGTGCTCATAATGAAGTGAGTATGGGGTGGGGAGTGAAGTAAGTCTGAGCAAGATTGGTACATGCCAACTGGTTTGCCTTTGACTGCACCCTCCCTGGGTACCTCCTCGCTCTCTTTGTCGCCATCGGCGCTCCAGCCTCAGAAGTGTTTATCATGAAGTGAGTTAGAGGGAGTGGAGTGAGTATGAGCGTCGTTAAATGCAGAGTGAGAGTGCAAGGCAAGGCCTGCCTTGCCTTTGATCGCACCCTTCCAGGGTACCTCCTCGCCCTCTTTGTGGCTGTCGGTGCTCCAGCCTCAGAAGTGCTTATCATGAAGTGAGTTAGAGGGAGTATTCACACATTGTATTGAGAATAAGTGTGCTTCTAGTGAAGGTGTGAGTGTTAACTGCCAGCTGGTTTGCGTTTGCCACCTGGATAACTCCTCGCCCTCTTTGTCGCTGTCTGCACTCCAGCCTCAGCAGTGCTTTTGATGACGTGAGTCTGGGGAAGAAATTTGAGCACGAGGATATGTAAAGCAAAGCGTGACCTCCTTGTTGAGTTGCCATCAACCATCTCCTGCCTTGCGCTTTACTGCACGCTCTCTGTCTCACTCTTCGTCCGCTTCTGCCTCCATCAACCTTCATGCCGTTTAGCCACCAAGTGACTTTGAAAATTGATTACAAATCGTAGTGGAGTTTCGATGAGACACCTTTTTTCCTGAAGTGGTCCTCATTGCAGTTTCAGCCGACCCTTCTCCTCCGTTCCCACCTCACCCTGAATGGGTGGCTCGGCCACCTTTCCCCACCCCACCCCACCCCACCCCACCCCACCGTACCCCACCCTGACCCACCATTCCCCACCGTTCCCCACCCTGCTCCATCCCACTTCAGGTACTTGGGGCTCTGGCACTACACTGAACCAGACATCTTCATTGCAGGAGAGGTGAGGCACCTGGGGTGGCCGCTGGTAGGGTATAGCACCTGGGGTGGTAGGGTATAGCACCTGGGGTGGTAGGGTATAGCACCTGGGGTGGTAGGGTATAGCACCTGGGGTGGTAGGGTATAGCACCTGGGGTGGTAGGGTATAGCACCTGGGGTGGTAGGGTATAGCACCTGGGGTGGTAGGGTATAGCACCTGGGGTGGTAGGGTATAGCACGTGTGCTTGCATCTGTTGTTGCTTCCTGTGAACTGAATACCTCCTGTCTTTCTCACAATTGCCAGTGCCTGGTACAGCACACAGTTCGCTGTACCAGTGGAGGGACCTGTCTTGTGGATTAGCCTGCTTCTGCTGCTGCTACGTCTACACCCAATGGGTGGCCCCTGCCCCCTCTCCACCTCTCCACCGCATCATACCGCTTTGTCTCCACCTCTCTGTCTGCTGCTCCCCAATCATCCCCCCCGTTTCACCACCAGGGCCTGGTCTCCTGGACTGCCTGCTGCTACTTCGTCTACACCCAATGGGTGCCCACTGTGGCCCGCACCTTTGCTGCCTCGCTGTCTCACACCACCTCACACCGCTTCGTACCTGTCTGCTTGCTGTTATCCTGTTATCCCCCCTCCTCCCCTCCCGACCAGGGCCTTGTCTCCTGGACTGCCTGCTGCTACTTCGTCTACACCCAATGGGTGGCCCCTGCCCCCTCTCCACCACCTCACACTGTTTCGTGTCTACCTCTTTGTCTGCTGCTCTTTACTTGCCATCCCTCCTCCCCTCCCCTTTCACCACCAGGGCCTTGTCTCCTGGACTACCTACTGCTATTTCCTCTACACCCAATGGGTGGCCACTGTGGCTCCTGCTTCCCACCACCTCACACCGCTCTGTACCTGCCTGCTTCCTTATGCACCCCCCAATACAGGGCCTTGTCTCATGGACTGCCTGGTGCTACTTCTTCTATACCCAGTGGGTGGCAACTGTGGCTCGCACCTTTGCTGCCTCACTGTCTCCCAACAGCCCTGCGCTGGACGAGCTAAAATGGTAGTATATAAGTAGTATCTATCTTGTACAGGGCGTAATGCGATCTTTTTACTGATATATGGACATTTATGTAGCATTCGGAATGTATTCCGGTACTGAAAACGGCAAGACTTGTTCTAGCCTAACAAATGCTACTATGCTACACCCTATTCAATACACGTCCAAAACATAATTTCCTTATTTAGGTATGCACGCACTGTAGAAAGCACATGGTCCAAAACATAATTTCCTTATTTAGGTACGCACGTCTGACGTACACCTCCCGCCGTGTCAGCTCTCGGTCTAATTGGTCAGAAACTGCTAAACCAATACCACGGCCTACTTATAAACAAGCCAACACGACGTTATGCTTGCTTTGCTTTAGAGTCGTCTCACAAGCATCTCATTATGCGTGCCTCTTTACAAAGTTAAATACCTCTGTAAGGCGAACATACATCTCCTGCCATGTTGGCACATGCACCTTGCAGGCCTGGCTGTCCACTATAGACCTGCCACACGGGGTTACATGCCATGCCATGCCATGCCATGCCATGCCATGCCATGCCATGCCATGCCATGCCATGCCATGCCATGCCATGCCATGCCATGCCATGCCATACATGGTTACATGTCATGACATGCCGTGCCGTACGTGTTACATGGCGTGCCATACGTGTTACATGCCATGCCATGTATCGCATTAGCAGCTGGGAAGCCGTTTCTGAGCCAACTCAATAATCACCTCTTTCTTCCCACCTACCTCAATAATCACCTCTTTCTTCCCACCTACCTCAATAATCACCTCTTTCTTCCCACCTACCTCAATAATCACCTCTTTCTTACCTCTTTCTTCCCACCTACCTCCATACCACCCACCTTTCTCCCCATCTACCTCCATACCACCCACCTTTCTCCCCATCTACCTCCATACCACCCACCTTTCTCCCCATCTACCTCCATACCACCCACCTTTCTCCCCATCTACCTCCATACCACCCACCTTTCTCCCCATCTACCTCCATACCACCCACCTTTCTCCCCACCTGCCTCCATACCACCCACCTTTCTCCCCATCTACCTCCATACCACCCACCTTTCTCCCCATCTACCTCCATACCACCCACCTTTCTCCCCATCTACCTCCATACCACCCACCTTTCTCCCCACCTGCCTCCACCCCACCCACCTTTCTCCCCACCTGCTTCCATTCCACCCACCTGTGTCGGTCCAAAAAGCCCCTGTATTGCTGAAGCATTTGAGAAACCACCTCTTAAGTCAAACCGAAACTCACCTCGTTCTCCCCACCTGCCTCCACCCCACCCACCTATCTCCCCACCTGCTTCCACCCCACCCACCTTTCTCCCCACCTGCTTCCATTCCACCCACCTGTGTCGGTCCAAAAATCCCCTGTATTGCTGAAGCATTTGAGAAACCACCTCCTAAGTCAAACCGAAACTCACCTCGTTCTCCCCACCTGCCTCCACCCCACCCACCTTTCTCCCCACCTTTCTCCCCACCTGCTTCCACCCCACCCACCTATCTCCCCACCTGCTTCCACCCCACCCACCTATCTCCCCACCTGCTTCCACCCCACCCACCTTTCTCCCCACCTGCTTCCATTCCACCCACCTGTGTCGGTCCAAAAAGCCCCTGTATTGCTGAAGCATTTGAGAAACCACCTCCTAAGTCAAACCGAAACTCACCTCGTTCTCCCCACCTGCCTCCACCCCACCCACCTATCTCCCCACCTGCTTCCACCCCACCCACCTATCTCCCCACCTGCTTCCACCCCACCCACCTATCTCCCCACCTGCTTCCATTCCACCCACCTGTGTCGGTCCAAAAAGCCCCTGTATTGCTGAAGCATTTGAGAAACCACCTCCTAAGTCAAACCGAAACTCACCTCGTTCTCCCCACCTGCTTCCATTCCACCCACCTGTGTCGGTCCAAAAAGCCCCTGTATTGCTGAAGCATTTGAGAAACCACCTCCTAAGTCAAACCGAAACTCACCTCGTTCTCCCCACCTGCCTCCACCCCACCCACCTTTCTCCCCACCTGCTTCCACCCCACCCACCTTTCTCCCCACCTTTCTCCCCACCTGCTTCCACCCCACCCACCTTTCTCCCCACCTTTCTCCCCACCTGCTTCCACCCCACCCACCTTTCTCCCCACCTTTCTCCCCACCTGCTTCCACCCCACCCACCTTTCTCCCCACCTGCTTACACTCCACCCACCTGTGCTGGTCCAAAAAGTCCCTGTATTTCTGAAGCACCTGCGAAACCACCGCGTCTCGCACGCTTGCCCGCGCATCGGCATTCCCAATGCTCCACGTGCTCTGTTGCCCCTGAATGGCATCCAGAAGGGTGTGAAACGCCGCAAGCTGCTTGGTGAAGGCTTGAGCGTTGCCTTGATGACCCCACAGCACTGGCGCCACCTGGTTGGTGGGTGGGTGGGTGGGTGGGTGGGTGGGTGGGTGGGGGGTTAAGGGTATGCCTGACGCACTTTTGGCATTCCCTATGCTCCACGTGCTCTGCTGCGTCTGAATGGCATCCAGAAGGGTGTGAAACGCCGCAAGCTGCTTCGTGAAGGCTTGAGCGTTGCCTTGATGACCCCACAGCACTGGTGCCACCTGGTTGGTGGGTGGGTGGGTGGGTGGGTGGGTGGGTGGGGCATGACATTGGGTGTGCTTCGTGAAGGCTTGAGCGTTGCCTTGATGACCCCACAGCACTGGCGCCACCTGAAAGGTGGGGGGGGTTGAGGGTTCGCAATACGTTTTTAATGCTCCACCCGCTGTGGTGCTGACTGGAAAGCATTTAGGCGGGAGGAGGGGTGGTAGTAGCAACTAGAAGGTGGACGGAGGAGTGATATCACAGAAGGCTGTGAGACGCCTGAAGCTGCCTGATCAAGGGCTGTACTCCCCCCCTCCCCCCCGCTGATCAAGGGCTGTACTCCCCACCTTGGCTCACCCACCTTGGCTCACCCACCTTGGCTCACCCACCTTGGCTCACTCACCTTGTGTCACTCACTTGGCTCACTCACCTTGTCTCCCTCCCTCCCCCACCCTCCCCCCCGCTGATCCGACAGAATGGTGGGCACCTGGTGGGAGTGTTGGTTGGGAGCCGAGCATGGCGATGCCGCTTGGCTGGCTGGTTGCATGGCTCACCCACCTTGGCTCACCCACCTTGGCTCACCCACCTTGGCTCACCCACCTTGGCTCACCCACCTTGGCTTACCCACCTTGTCCCACCCACCTTGTCCCACCCACCTTAGCTCACTCACCTTCTCCCACTCACCTTCTCTCACTCACCTTCTCTCACTCACCTTCTCTCACTCACCTTCTCTCACTCACCTTCTCTCACTCACCTTCTCTCAATCACCTCGTCCCTAGCACACCGAATGTATGTGCCTTGATGTCTTAAAAGCTCCTAAGCGTTGAGTTGATCCAAAAGTCTCAGATTCACTCACCCTGTCCGTTACACACACCTTGGCTCACAATGTACTCACCTCGGCTCACTCACCTCGGCTCACTCACCTGGCTCACTCACCTCGGCTCACTCACCTTGGCTCACTCACCTTGGCTCACTCACCTTGGCTCACTCACCTTGGCTCACTCACCTCGGCTCACTCACCTTGGCTCACTCACCTTGGCTCACTCACCTCGGCTCACTCACCTTGGCTCACTCACCTCGGCTCACTCACCTCGGCTCACTCACCTTGGCTCACTCACCTCGGCTCACTCACCTTGGCTCACTCACCTCGGCTCACTCACCTTGGCTCACTCACCTTGGCTCACTCACCTCGGCTCACTCACCTTGGCTCACTCACCTTGGCTCACTCACCTTGGCTCACTCACCTCGGCTCACTCACCTTGGCTCACTCACCTCGGCTCACTCACCTCGGCTCACTCACCTTGGCTCACTCACCTTGGCTCACTCACCTTGGCTCACTCACCTCGGCTCACTCACCTTGGCTCACTCACCTCGGCTCACTCACCTTGGCTCACTCACCTCGGCTCACTCACCTTGGCTCACTCACCTCGGCTCACTCACCTCGGCTCACTCACCTTGGCTCACTCACCTCGGCTCACTCACCTTGGCTCACTCACCTCGGCTCACTCACCTTGGCTCACTCACCTCGGCTCACTCACCTTGGCTCACTCACCTTGGCTCACTCACCTTGGCTCACTCACCTTGGCTCACTCACCTTGGCTCACTCACCTTGGCTCACTCACCTTGTCCCTGATGCACTGAGTGTACGTGTCTCGATGTCTCAACAGCTCCTTTGCAACCTCGTTCAACCAAGCCTGCCCAAGAACCTCCGTCACGCGCGGTTCGTCATGCCTGTCAGTCACTCACAGACACCAAAAAACACGCATGAGAGAGCACATTGGAAAGCCCTTGGTCCAAAAGCTCCTTCGCAGTCTCGTTCAACCAGGCCTGCCAGTCACTCACAACCCTAAACCCTAAACCCTAAGAACCTCCTTCACGTGTGGCTCGTCATGCCTGTCAGTCACTCACAGTCACATCAAACACGCGTAAGCAAGGTGCATTCTGAGGCGCTTCAACACTAGATCTCTCAACAGCTCCTTTGCATTGCAGTCTCGTTCAACCAAGCCTGCCCAAGAACCTCCTTCACGTGTGGCTCCTCATGCCTGTCAGTCACTCACAGTCACATCAAACACGCGTAAAAAGAAAGTAGCATTTTGAGTCGACTCAGAATTCACGTGCTGCTGCTGGTCATGCCTGTCAGTGACTCACAGACAATGTGACACGCATGAGAGAGCACTTTGGGATGATTTTGCAGGCGTCTAGTTTTGGGGCGCCTCAAAACTAGACGCCTCAAAAGTATGTGTCTCACTAACAAGAGCAATGCCTGTCAGTCGCTCACAGACATTGAAGAACGCATGAGAGAGCACAATGGAGAGCACTTCAATATGCGTACATTTAAATGCACATTCAAATGCACTTAAATGCACATTCAATTGCACATTCAAATGCACACAAGAAATGTGCTGCAACCCCCACTGACTCACTCCGCCACCTTGTGCAGCATGTAAGCACAGTTGTTGAGGAGGAAAAAGGCTCGCATGCCCTCATCGCAATAAAACGCATCTCCCATGCGCTCCAGATTCGGCTTCAGAGCCGCCAGCAGCAGCTGTGATGCCACCCCCACCCGTGCTGCCCCCACCCGTGCCACTCCCACCTCCTCGTTCCCCTCCTCCCCTCCATACACCAGCAGAAGAGTACTCAGGTACAGAGACCTGGCCAGGGTGGGGGAAGAGGGGAAGGGGAGGGACAGTTGACACAAGCATGCCCTCATCATCCCAGTAGAAAGTGTCTCCCATGCGCTCCAGATTCGGCTTCAGAGCCGCCAGCAGCAGCCGTGATGCCACTCCCACCCGTGCCGCCCCCACCTCCTCGTTCCCCTCCTCCCCTCCGTACACCAGCAGCAGCGTGCTTAGGTATAGGGACCTGGCGAGGATGGGGGGAGGGGGTTGGGGGGAAAGAAAGGCTCCAGATTTGGATTCAGAGCCGACAGCAGCAGCCGTGATGCCGGCCCCACCCGTGCCACCCCCACCCGTGCCGCCCCCACCTCCTCGTTTCCCTCCTCGTTCCCCTCCTCCCCTCCGTACACCAGCAGCAGCGTAGATTGACCAGGTAGATGGTGAGAGGAAGCACATCCGGACTTCCATTTAGGAGGTGACTTTTGAGTCGACTCAAAAGGTGACTTTTGACTTTTGAGTCGACTCAAAAGGTGACTTTTGACTTTTGAGTCGACTCAAAAGGGACCTGGCGAGGGTGGCGGGTGGGGGGTGAGATTGACCAGGTAGCTGGTGAGAGGAAGCACATCCGGACTTCCATTCAGGAGCATAAGGGGGCGAATAGGCGTCAGGTTTCTTGGCAGGCAAGCTAGACCAGCACTTCACACCTTAGAATCAATGCACTCTCGGGTCCAAGCAGTGAATGACGAAATTGACCAGGTAGCTCGTGAGAGGAAGCACATCTGGACTGGCTTTAAGAGCATAAGGGGGAGCATAGGGTTTCGGATCTCTAAGGTTGGCAGGCAGACTAGACCAGCACCTCACACCTTCGAATCGATGCACTCACGGGTCCAAGCAGAGAATGGCGAAGTTGACCAGGTAGCTCGTGAGAGGAAGCACATCTGGACTGGCTTTAAGAGCATAAGGGGGAGCATAGGGTTTCGGATCTCTAAGGTTGGCAGGCAGACTAGACCAGCACCTCACACCTTCGAATCGATGCACTCACGGGTCCAAGCAGAGAATGGCGAAGTTGACCAGGTAGCTCGTGAGAGGAAGCACATCTGGACTGGCTTTAAGAGCATAAGGGGGAGCATAGGGTTTCGGATCTCTAAGGTTGGCAGGCAGACTAGACCAGCACCTCACACCTTCGAATCGATGCACTCACGGGTCCAAGCAGAGAATGGCGAAGTTGACCAGGTAGCTCGTGAGAGGAAGCACATCTGGACTGGCTTTAAGAGCATAAGGGGGAGCATAGGGTTTCGGATCTCTAAGGTTGGCAGGCAGACTAGACCAGCACCTCACACCTTCGAATCGATGCACTCACGGGTCCAAGCAGAGAATGGCGAAGTTGACCAGGTAGCTCGTGAGAGGAAGCACATCTGGACTGGCTTTAAGAGCATAAGGGGGAGCATAGGGTTTCGGATCTCTAAGGTTGGCAGGCAGACTAGACCAGCACCTCACACCTTCGAATCGATGCACTCACGGGTCCAAGCAGAGAATGGCGAAGTTGACCAGGTAGCTCGTGAGAGGAAGCACATCTGGACTGGCTTTAAGAGCATAAGGGGGAGCATAGGGTTTCGGATCTCTAAGGTTGGCAGGCAGACTAGACCAGCACCTCACACCTTCGAATCGATGCACTCACGGGTCCAAGCAGAGAATGGCGAAGTTGACCAGGTAGCTCGTGAGAGGAAGCACATCTGGACTGGCTTTAAGAGCATAAGGGGGAGCATAGGGTTTCGGATCTCTAAGGTTGGCAGGCAGACTAGACCAGCACCTCACACCTTCGAATCGATGCACTCACGGGTCCAAGCAGAGAATGGCGAAGTTGACCAGGTAGCTCGTGAGAGGAAGCACATCTGGACTGGCTTTAAGAGCATAAGGGGGAGCATAGGGTTTCGGATCTCTAAGGTTGGCAGGCAGACTAGACCAGCACCTCACACCTTCGAATCGATGCACTCACGGGTCCAAGCAGAGAATGGCGAAGTTGACCAGGTAGCTCGTGAGAGGAAGCACATCTGGACTGGCTTTAAGAGCATAAGGGGGAGCATAGGGTTTCGGATCTCTAAGGTTGGCAGGCAGACTAGACCAGCACCTCACACCTTCGAATCGATGCACTCACGGGTCCAAGCAGAGAATGGCGAAGTTGACCAGGTAGCTCGTGAGAGGAAGCACATCTGGACTGGCTTTAAGAGCATAAGGGGGAGCATAGGGTTTCGGATCTCTAAGGTTGGCAGGCAGACTAGACCAGCACCTCACACCTTCGAATCGATGCACTCACGGGTCCAAGCAGAGAATGGCGAAGTTGACCAGGTAGCTCGTGAGAGGAAGCACATCTGGACTGGCTTTAAGAGCATAAGGGGGAGCATAGGGTTTCGGATCTCTAAGGTTGGCAGGCAGACTAGACCAGCACCTCACACCTTCGAATCGATGCACTCACGGGTCCAAGCAGAGAATGGCGAAGTTGACCAGGTAGCTCGTGAGAGGAAGCACATCTGGACTGGCTTTAAGAGCATAAGGGGGAGCATAGGGTTTCGGATCTCTAAGGTTGGCAGGCAGACTAGACCAGCACCTCACACCTTCGAATCGATGCACTCACGGGTCCAAGCAGAGAATGGCGAAGTTGACCAGGTAGCTCGTGAGAGGAAGCACATCTGGACTGGCTTTAAGAGCATAAGGGGGAGCATAGGGTTTCGGATCTCTAAGGTTGGCAGGCAGACTAGACCAGCACCTCACACCTTCGAATCGATGCACTCACGGGTCCAAGCAGAGAATGGCGAAGTTGACCAGGTAGCTCGTGAGAGGAAGCACATCTGGACTGGCTTTAAGAGCATAAGGGGGAGCATAGGGTTTCGGATCTCTAAGGTTGGCAGGCAGACTAGACCAGCACCTCACACCTTCGAATCGATGCACTCACGGGTCCAAGCAGAGAATGGCGAAGTTGACCAGGTAGCTCGTGAGAGGAAGCACATCTGGACTGGCTTTAAGAGCATAAGGGGGAGCATAGGGTTTCGGATCTCTAAGGTTGGCAGGCAGACTAGACCAGCACCTCACACCTTCGAATCGATGCACTCACGGGTCCAAGCAGAGAATGGCGAAGTTGACCAGGTAGCTCGTGAGAGGAAGCACATCTGGACTGGCTTTAAGAGCATAAGGGGGAGCATAGGGTTTCGGATCTCTAAGGTTGGCAGGCAGACTAGACCAGCACCTCACACCTTCGAATCGATGCACTCACGGGTCCAAGCAGAGAATGGCGAAGTTGACCAGGTAGCTCGTGAGAGGAAGCACATCTGGACTGGCTTTAAGAGCATAAGGGGGAGCATAGGGTTTCGGATCTCTAAGGTTGGCAGGCAGACTAGACCAGCACCTCACACCTTCGAATCGATGCACTCACGGGTCCAAGCAGAGAATGGCGAAGTTGACCAGGTAGCTCGTGAGAGGAAGCACATCTGGACTGGCTTTAAGAGCATAAGGGGGAGCATAGGGTTTCGGATCTCTAAGGTTGGCAGGCAGACTAGACCAGCACCTCACACCTTCGAATCGATGCACTCACGGGTCCAAGCAGAGAATGGCGAAGTTGACCAGGTAGCTCGTGAGAGGAAGCACATCTGGACTGGCTTTAAGAGCATAAGGGGGAGCATAGGGTTTCGGATCTCTAAGGTTGGCAGGCAGACTAGACCAGCACCTCACACCTTCGAATCGATGCACTCACGGGTCCAAGCAGAGAATGGCGAAGTTGACCAGGTAGCTCGTGAGAGGAAGCACATCTGGACTGGCTTTAAGAGCATAAGGGGGAGCATAGGGTTTCGGATCTCTAAGGTTGGCAGGCAGACTAGACCAGCACCTCACACCTTCGAATCGATGCACTCACGGGTCCAAGCAGAGAATGGCGAAGTTGACCAGGTAGCTCGTGAGAGGAAGCACATCTGGACTGGCTTTAAGAGCATAAGGGGGAGCATAGGGTTTCGGATCTCTAAGGTTGGCAGGCAGACTAGACCAGCACCTCACACCTTCGAATCGATGCACTCACGGGTCCAAGCAGAGAATGGCGAAGTTGACCAGGTAGCTCGTGAGAGGAAGCACATCTGGACTGGCTTTAAGAGCATAAGGGGGAGCATAGGGTTTCGGATCTCTAAGGTTGGCAGGCAGACTAGACCAGCACCTCACACCTTCGAATCGATGCACTCACGGGTCCAAGCAGAGAATGGCGAAGTTGACCAGGTAGCTCGTGAGAGGAAGCACATCTGGACTGGCTTTAAGAGCATAAGGGGGAGCATAGGGTTTCGGATCTCTAAGGTTGGCAGGCAGACTAGACCAGCACCTCACACCTTCGAATCGATGCACTCACGGGTCCAAGCAGAGAATGGCGAAGTTGACCAGGTAGCTCGTGAGAGGAAGCACATCTGGACTGGCTTTAAGAGCATAAGGGGGAGCATAGGGTTTCGGATCTCTAAGGTTGGCAGGCAGACTAGACCAGCACCTCACACCTTCGAATCGATGCACTCACGGGTCCAAGCAGAGAATGGCGAAGTTGACCAGGTAGCTCGTGAGAGGAAGCACATCTGGACTGGCTTTAAGAGCATAAGGGGGAGCATAGGGTTTCGGATCTCTAAGGTTGGCAGGCAGACTAGACCAGCACCTCACACCTTCGAATCGATGCACTCACGGGTCCAAGCAGAGAATGGCGAAGTTGACCAGGTAGCTCGTGAGAGGAAGCACATCTGGACTGGCTTTAAGAGCATAAGGGGGAGCATAGGGTTTCGGATCTCTAAGGTTGGCAGGCAGACTAGACCAGCACCTCACACCTTCGAATCGATGCACTCACGGGTCCAAGCAGAGAATGGCGAAGTTGACCAGGTAGCTCGTGAGAGGAAGCACATCTGGACTGGCTTTAAGAGCATAAGGGGGAGCATAGGGTTTCGGATCTCTAAGGTTGGCAGGCAGACTAGACCAGCACCTCACACCTTCGAATCGATGCACTCACGGGTCCAAGCCGAGAATGG